TTTACTTATTGTATTTATATTTTATAAAATTAAATGATAATAATTAATGTATAACAAATTAACTTTCATAATTTTTTTAATTAATTATAAAGATGAATTAAATTAGGTAGATTTTTAGTTGGTTAAAAATGTAATTATATGTATTATTGTAGCATATGTAATTTTAAAAGGATAATTGCTAATTTTGATTCCTCAATTTTAAGATTTACATAATTTTTGTCCCTTATCTTTTTTTTGCTCATTTTGGTCCCTCAATTATGAATAATTTGCATTTTTAGTCCTTTTATCAATGTGCTAAAGAAACTTAATTGAGAGAAGAACTAAAAAAGTACATTATTTATGGTTGAAGGACCAATATGAGCAAAAAAAAAGTTGAGGGATGAAAATTATATAAAATCATAAAGTTGATAGACCAAAATTGATATTTATGATTCTAGTGCTTGTTATATAATATTAAGATATTATTGAATTTTTAAGGCACGCACTACTTAGGTATGGGAGAAGATCGGAGTTGGATGTATCGTAGTTAAGATGAAATGGGGTATTGGAACAATGAATTTAATGCTGGGGTAGAGATTTTCTTAGATTTTGCATTCTCATAAACGGACTCGATGTTTTGTGCAATGAATATGATTTGGTGTTTGTGTAGTAAGTGTTGGAATAAAGAATGGCATCATCGACGCAAAGTGCAATCTCATCTTATTAAGAACAGCTTCATGGATGGGTATTTTATTTGGAAAAGACACAGAGAAATTATTCATAGAAAATGGCGTTACACTCAAGTGGGTGAATTATCAAGTGCCACTATTGCTGCTACTATGAATAATGTTCCAAGTGTCGATCAACTTAGAGACATGCTTCATGATGCCATGGGACCAAATTTTTTTAATAATGAAAATAGTGCCATAGGGGTAAAAGATGCAACATAATTTGATGCTAGTTTTGGTGATCCATACGGTGCCAGTACAGAATCGATATTTGAAGAGCCAAGAGGAGATGCAAAAGAGTTCTTGGATCTTTTGTGAGCAACTGATACACCTCTTTTTGAAGGATGTGATGATGGTGTCACTGTCTTAAAGTGGGTGTGTGAGCTCATGAGTGCAAAAACACTTTTTAACATGAGTGTTACTAATTGGGACTATGTGCTAAAGCATAGTCTAATGGCCTTCAAAAAAGTTGATGAGGAGAAATTGCCAACATATTATTATAATGCCAAGAAGATGTTGAGGCATCTGGTCTTGGGTATCAAAAGTATGATGTTTGTGTGAATAATTGCATTTTGTATTATGGAGAATATAAAAGTCAATGTTATTTACAATGCTCAATATGTGAAGCGCCACGATTTAAGCAACATGATGTGCATTCTGCTAAGCCTATACTAAGAAAGTCCTTGTGGTATCTTCCAATTATTCCTAGACTTTAGAGATTGTATATGTCTAGGAAAACTGTCGAGCATATGACTTGGCATGTAAATTTTCATAATGAAAATGAAAAAATTTTTCATCTTACATGTGGAGAGGCATGGAAGCATTTTGATAGCACTCACCCTAAGTTTGCTAATGAACCGAGGAATGTTAGGTTAGGTTTGCGCACTGATGGGTTCACTCTTTTTGGACATTCTGCATCTCCATACTCTTGTTGGCCAGTATTTGTGTTAGTTTATAACTTGTCTCCAACAATGTGCATGAAGCAAGAATGTGTATTCCTTTCATTGATTATCCAAGGTCCCCAAAGTCTTGGAAAGAATATTGATGTAATGCTTCGACCACTAATCAATGATTTAAAGCAACTTTGGTATTCTGGAGTCTAAACTTATGATAGATTTAGGCGTCAACACTTTTTGATGAGGGCTGCACTTATGTGGACCATTAGTGACTTACCTGGGTATGGAATGTTGTTTGGATGAAGCACACATGATAAATTAGCTTGTCCCTATTACATGGAAAATTCGAAGGCCTTTTGGTTGGAAAACGGTCGGAAGACATCGTTTTTTGATTGTCACCGATAGTTTTTTCCACCAGAGTGTCCATTTAGAAGAAACAAGAATGACTTCATAAAGGGTTGTATAAAGAATGGAACAATGCCAGAGAGATTGTCTGGTGATGAGATGCGTAGTCACATCCATTGGCTGCTTGATTTACTATTTGGTAAGCCACCTGAGAAACAAGAAATCCACGGATTTGGTGAAGTGCACAATTGGGTTAAAAAGAGCATCTTTTGGGAATTACCATATTGGCACACAAACTTGGTTCGACACAATTTAGATGTCATGCACTGTGAGAAAAACTTTTTTGACAATATCCTTCATACAGTAATGGATGACCCTATGACAAATGATAACATAAATGCAAGACTTGATCTGGAATTGTATTGTAAAAGGAAAATTTTGCACATACCGAAAATAGGAGTGAATTCGGGTAAAAAGGCAAAAGCCACTTATGTTCTTAGTAGGGATCAAAGAAAATCAAATATGTCAATCGTTGAAGGAACTTAAATTCCCTGATGGATTTGCCTCCAATATATTTTGGTGTGTCAATACACAAGAGGCACGATTATTTAGTATGAAAAGTCACGACTATCACATTTTCATGCAAAGCCTTATACCAATTGCATTTTGTGATTTATTACCGAAATAAGTTTGGGAGCCAGTTGTTGAGATTAGTGAGTTATTTAGGGCCTTGTGTGCTCCGGTGATTCAGGTAAATGACATGGCAATATGGCAGGAGAGGATAGTAGAAATCATTTGTAAGCTAGAGCAAATCTTTCCACCTTCATTCTTTGACAATATGGAGCATCTTACAATCCACCTTCCTTATGAGGCTCATGTAGGAGGACCGGTGCAATGTCGATTGATATATCCATTTGAGAGGTAAATATAATTAATGTATAATATATGAAACTAAATATAACTCCATATATGATATTTTGTTGCATTGAGGTTAGTATACCAATTTAGTACTTCAACTTTCAATTTTATATCAAAGCTACCATTGAACTTAAAAAAGAATTAAAAATGGTCCTTTCAAGGACCATTTTGAAACCTTTTTAAAATTTGAGGGTATATTTGATACAAACTTAGAAGTTGAGGTACCAAATTAGTATTTTAATCATAACATAATTATATAATAATTCTTGGTGAATCAAGTGAATGCATTGTCTTAAGTTGACGTGAAAAACAAAGCGCGTCCTAAAGTATCTATATGTGAAAGTTACATAATGTTTGAGATCACAAATTTTATCTTTCATTACTTTGATGATGGAGTACATAGTACAGTTGATAATCCCCCTAGGAATATTGTTGTTGGATTTGGTGATAATAGTGGCCTATCCATCTTTAAATGTGTTGGAAAACATATTGGTTCCCAAATTGGAAGACGTTGCTTGATAGTAAAGGAATGCAAAGCTGCTTCGTATTCTGTGTTAATGAATTGTGAAGAATTGCGAGGATGGGTCAGGTAAAAAACCTACACTAAAATCTTTAATTTGTTATATTAAGATTTATTGAAATTAAAATACTAACAATATATAAAAACTAGGACCATGATTGGTGCTCACTCGGATCCAACACTCGGGTGTGCA